ATATATATATATATGTCTATACACTATATATGTCTATATAGTTTTTGTGAATTTTTATTTCAGTTTTAGTTAAGTACTTAAAGTTAAACAAAAGGAGAAATGTTGCCTTGGCAAATAGCTGAAATAAGTTTTTTTTATGATTTAATTTTAATTATCTATAATAACCCTGCTGAATTTAAATATCAAAGGCAATGCTTGAAGAAAACAGATAAATCTAAGTCATATGCACTGGAGTGTGCCTGGATCTGATCTTCTCATTCCCTGCAGTTACATTTTACACCTGTAAGAAGGAGTGTTACATCAATATTATGTAATAATATAATAATATAATATTCCTTAATGATGCTTGCAATCCATAACTAGCTTTCTTTATGATCCGTTCCTTTGTCCTTTGTTTTAGCTCAGCTGCAGGTGAAGAAGGCAGACGGTCTTATCTCTGAAGTATGTGTGTGTGTGTGTGTGTGTGTGTGTGTGTGTGAGTGAGTGTGTGTTTGCTTTGCCGTGTCAGATCAGCACAAGACTGTGCAAGGGTGAGCTGGGAACAATGAATCATGAGGGAGAGGCTGCCAAACCCGCTCACCTGCTTTAGTGGGCAGAGTGTTCTTCTCCGCCGTGTTCGTCTTCTTTAGGCATCTCTTGTCAAACTGCTGCACCTCTTCTTTAACAGGGTTGTCGCTCATTTTGGAGAGTCTGTGAGAATTCGAGTCATTGAAAGTTAATGGCAGTGGCCGTCTCTACATGCAGTGTTTGCTTTATACCGTCCTCAATAAAACTATTCGTGAATCAAAACCAATCAATCAACTTATTGGCATTCTAATGCAATAACGGCCAATCCAAATGTGTGTTTGGACAGTACTTGTGATTCTTTTGCTCTTGGCATCTTTCTCACACAGAGCTGGCAAAGCATTCAACGGCATCTCGCTCATGCTTAAACCACATTCTGAAAAGCAGAAGTGCGTTTAACTCCCCAAGACCTGTTTCCTCAAAGGTGTGAGCTGAAGTTTTGGTGACCGTGTATGAACACGTCGACACTCCCTGTCCTCAGATGTGTGTTTATGTAAGCTCTTATCAGCCAGAGCTACAGTAAAATCACTGGCCTAAAATGACACTCTACTCAAATGGGTTGTTTTCCTCGCTTTTTGCATATTTACAGAGACCACGAGTGCGCTGGAGCTTAATGCTTGTATGTTTAACAGATAAAGTCAGCATAATGCTGAAGTTACAGAGAGATCTGCAAAACAAGAGGAAGTCATTTCACTAAATCACCCAGTGCTGCTACTATCAAGTAAACAGATGATTTCTCATTAAAGTAAGCATGCTTTATGTTGCCACGTTGTCTTAGCAACACTTAATATTCTGAATTAACTGTTGTATTCAAGTCATCACTTAATAGGACTGAATAACTTGAATAGGGCCAGATCATATTCACTTTTTTTTTCTTGCAACTTAATATTAGATCTCATTAAAAGAGAGAGAGAGAGATAAGTGAACACAGTAACTTTGAAAACATTTTAGTTTAGCAAATCAAATTATTCATGTATTGAATGTTTTCTCACATTAGTCTATGCTGAACAGAATATCAGAACAATCTTATGCACACACAAATATAGTAAACAAAGAAGAACTGATATTAGTAGGGCAGTGTGCACATGATCACTGCATGAGCCGATGTTTTATATGATCACGATCAATTCCTCACGTCTTCACCACACCCAACATGACTCGCGCCAAATCTCTGGGATTTTGCAACACTGCCAAATACTTGAAACATTTGAATGTTTGAAACGTTCCAATCGACGCTTTGCCGCATCTGGGTTTTTCTAACGGTGTTTAGCGCATTAATGCGCCATAGGAATTAATGACAGACTGCGCAAACCATAGGCAGGCGCACACACACACACACACACAC